CTGCCTCGGTAATTCACCTCACAGTTGTGAGATATATTCGGATATCAAGAACGCGAACCGGGCGGATGAGTGCAGTGTCGCAGTCCCCCAGAGAAGACCTGACTTGGTGGGAGGCTTTCACTTCGAGTTGACGGAGCAGTCCCGTGTCTCTCCCTCTATTCGACGTTATTTGGCATAGAGGTCATAGAGGATGACGCCTGAAAAAACTTAACTAGGTGACTCAGATCAGTCCGCACATGGGTGGGGTGGAGCAGTGATTACACACACGCCTTCCGGGTGAAGATGCCCAATTGCACAAAACTGACGCGAGGTCGTTAGGTGTTGGCAAGGCAGGCACCGGTGTGACGGAGGACCTAGTTACTCCAGCTACAGCGGGGTTGTATCGTGACATAATGTCATCAGCGATCGCTGCAGTTTCCTCCAGCGAGCGTTTGCGCGCGGCACTTAGGGCACTCAGAGGGAATTCACAATCAATCTGGTTAGCCGCCTAAACAAATTTAACATTCGTTGTTTGCGAACTATGGAAAGATTGATGTACAAACTGGGCCCTAGTAGTGCAGTGTTCCGCAACAAATTCAGTTGAGCGTACGTTATATACAAACGTACACCTATCGCGAACCGGAATGGGTGGTTAAGTATTAGAGGACCCGCCTCAGCTTATTCCTGTTAATCGTCGCATTCTTTACCAATAGTGTCCGTCTGTGATTGTACCATTTCTGGTTATTCACAGCAAGCAAATTCATCATCTTAAAACACCATTAGGCAATGGGAAGAAACCCTGGGACCAGGTTAACGCGATCTGGACAAGGCCCATGTGGCGTCGCGGTATGGAACTCGCTGTTATCCGGCCGATAAACTGACATTCTGGAGCAGTTGAGGTCTAAGAGCTCATCAAACATTCCTAGTTACATTGTAAAATTTGGAAAGACGTCAAACAAGAAGACCAAACGGTATATTTCCTCACGATGGGCGGCCGTGAACTTGATTCTTTGGTGAAAAACCTGTCATTTTGTAGACAATTTTCATTAGTTTCATTCGAAGAGTTGAAGAAACTTCTTCCAGATTACATTACACGGGGTAATTTCCAGGAGTACGAAATTCCACACGTTGACTCGATGTCCAGCTTAAAAGTTCCCAGATTTTATGCTCGTCCTAAAGACGCAAGCAGCTAAATACAACTTCGGGACCGACTGGAAACACAGTTCGCTAGACCGACTGACTGTCGTCGTAAATCACCATGAATTGTGGAGGAAGCTGTTCGTAAAATACGACCTTATATTCGCAGAATCTCTTGCGATTGAATAATGGCTAGAGGATGTGCTGGCAGCCACTACGGGCCAATTCGCTATGTAGCTTTAAAAGGTAGAAATGTCAAGTCCAACCAGTCGCATTCAATACCTACGGTCAAACCAGACAATCTGGCCAGGTTGACGGTTGTATTCAGTCATATTAATCTATATTTGTCAAGCAGTAAGTCACATATGCATTTCGCATATAAATTTCGCCAGGGCGTATGTCACACATATGGGAAAGTGGGACGAAATCAACGTTATTCATCACAATGCCTTGTTCTTCAGTTGTATTTTGTTTCTAACATAATGACCTACGACCGTCAGCCGATATTGTAACGAGGTAACTTGGTTCACGAGTCGCAGTAACCACAGTCCTTACGGACGGGACAGTCCATAGAAGACACCTAAATCAATTTCGATTCAGAGTTACCGGAGAGAAATTTGGAAAGAGTGGCGCTGAAATGCGAGAGGGTGAGAAAATCAAACTGCGGAGATCTCCGCGGCTCAATTCGAAACAAAAAGATCAAAATTACATGCAATGCTGCAGTTCCTTGGGTGAGGAGATATGGTATGTTCATATCCGACCATATTGTACTCGGTTGATGAAGGTATACAAACGGATTCAAGTTTTATCTGTCTGCTTCGCTTAGTCTCGATTCCTATTCCCCTTTTTACGAACCACAGTTGATCCACTTGTCTGAATCATTGTTCATCAACTCTGCTTTAGTCTAAAAGTATGGACTGGCTGGGTTTTGTGGGGATTGTGCATTCGAATTCTGATCACGTGCCCCCCCCCCTCCCCACCCACCTGAAGTCCCTGCTCAGATAGTTGATCATCCCGTTAAAACGTGAGACGCCTTTCGTATCGGTTGGCTCCGGCATGTCTACAAGCGAGCTTACCTTTTCCGAATCCCGTTTGATCCTTCTGATAATGTGGCCCTGGCACTTGACTGCTATTTGACAAAAAGTCAACTTGTCTCTTTTTAGTTTTATTCCATCACAGGTACATCGTTGCAGAAAAAATCAAACCTCCTGTTGTGTTCCTCAATACTTTTGCCGAAAATTAGAATACAATCTGCTACGCAGAGTACTCCAGGTGAGCCGTCTACTGCTTGGAGAATCCTCTTCTAGAATATTTCGCTCGATACCTTCGGGCCGAAAGGAAGTCGCTTCCAACGGAACCGGCCATACGGTGTGCCAAACTCGGTCAAATAACTTGAGGCCTCATTCAACTCTACATCCCAAAACACTGAAGCCAGATCAACTTTTTTAAACCAAAGCACGTCTGGTAACTCATGAAGAATATTTTGAAAATAGGTAACGAAAAGTGCTGTCGCCTAAGTGCTTTGTTCAGTGGTATAGGATCAATGCAAATGCGAAGTTCCCCGGATGCTTTCGTCATAATCACGATTTGACTCACCCTATCTGTTGGTGCTTCAACTTTAACTAGGACATCTTTCGATATGAGAATGTCCAACTCGCGCTCAAACTGTTCTCTAACTGCATATGGAATACGCTTTGTTGGTAGTGCCTCGGGTTCTGCGAATTCATGTACTTTTAACTCCGCCACCCCCGGAAGCCTTCCCAATCCCTCATCGAAAACGGAGGCGTACTTCTCTTGGTAATATTCGACATTATCAGATATATGGGTAATGAATGAATCATAGTGGAATGACACCAAACCAAGATTTTCGACAGATTCACATCCAAGGATAGGAACATAGCCCTGGTCGACCACAACAAAGTTTGTGAGTGATGACTGTCCATTCCTTTTGACTGACGACTTTCAGCTACGCCTCACCACTTGGCTGGACCTAATCACCGTTCCATATAATGAGTCTCCTCTGTGTCGGTCTCCGTGTAATATTGGACAGAGCGTTCATAGGCATGACGTTCACCGATGTTCTTGTGTACAACTGGAAATCCACCTCTTCTCCGTTCATCACTGTTGTGTTCGGGCTGAACAGGCATGTGCTCAGACAGACAATCTCGCACGCACACACACGCACGTACACAGCTGACGTTTGCCGTGCTCCGTCCAGGACAGCATTGACCAATCAGATTGTGTCACATGTTGCACGACCTTGTGCAACTTAACACGACCGTACAGTTGTCTTACTCTTTCGATTGCATATAGCCTTGACTGACGTGCTTGCATACGAGTTTGCATTTGTCGCGTGTTTGCCTGTGCTTGTGCCTGCCGTACGTTTGTACTGAATACACGTTCACTCGAACACGTGCGCCTTCCCTCTGTTACCGAATTGGTGAGCACAACAACCACCATCTTGGCAAAGGAGCTCTTTCGCCTTGCTGGCATTTGCCTCATTTACTCGATCTGTGTTGTGATGGTTTTGTTTTCTGTGAGCTGTTGTCCTGAGGAAACATTCTAGTGCGAAAAGGTTGAGGTTGTTTCAGCTACCACACTTTTTTCCCCAGGCCGGACAGTGGTCTCTTCCCACGAAGGGTTAGTCTACCAAAAAATTGACATTCCGTCTTTGGCACCGTGCGTGTCTCTGATGTTATTTTGTACAGAACACGCGATTCTGATGCATTCATCGTCTCCATGCGTTGTTCGGCTGCTTCCTCTCCTAGGTAGTTGTCGACGCCCTGTCGGAGTGATAATTTTGGAATCTTCAACAAACTTCTAATAACCGTAGGGTCATGCAATCCCATCACTATTCGATCCCGCTTGAGGCTGTCTTCTAGGGATGTGCGGAAACTGCATGATCGTGCCAGTGTTCATAACTATGTTAGCCACGCTCAATCCCAGAGTGTGTTGTTGACCGGTCAAATCGGGCCACTTGTCGAACGGCCTTGGTAGGTGGGATTTTAATTTAAGCTCGACAGGCACTTGCATTTGCATTTGTTTACTTGATTGCTTGCGGCTTATGGACTAGGTTTGCGTTCCTACGCTTATGAACAAAAGGAGTGCCAGCGTTGCTCGTGTTACCACAACTTCTGAACAGAACATCCATCAGTTCGCTTTTGGGTGTGAAACGGCTTAAATTGGATTAGGAAACCTATTGCACATTGGGCCATAAATACGGCTAATGTAAGGGGTTGTGTAAACCAAGGACGTGTAAAACAGTGGCATCTCCGCTATCATGACAAAACGAATCACAGACATGGGTCCTCGAGAGTTAATTTTCGCGAAGGCGACAGTGATTAGTAGTGGATAGCAACCTATCCTACATTAGTAAAAAGATCTCCCCATCAGGCTGTGTTGGTTTGTCGAAATAAGGGCCAGGTGCTATGCGCGGCAGTGGTCAAACGGTCATCACAGTAACCGTCTGACCCTTTTATCCAGGGTTCGAATACTCGCCCCGCTGCCGTCCACTTCCCCAGCTGGCAGCCTTCAAAGGAAAGCGACTCCGTTACTGAAATACTTCACCTCAATCGTATAATCAAAAGCCAGGTAATAAGACAATAAAGCAGTATATCTTGCAATATAACTGTCAAGAATGTTTCAAATCAGCCAGTAAGTACCATGGAAAAAGTATGATTGATTTCACAGAAGGTACCTTTGAAACTTCACACGTGACAACATGGATAAATCAAAACTGACACAGAAGAAAACAGATTTTCAAAATGTGAACAGCCAAAATAAGTACTTGATGAATTTAATGAAACAAAACTGAATGACGCACCCGAAACAGAGGTGTGTGGGGAAAATATCAGCCACCAAACCAGAGGTTTCCGTTGTATTCTTTATTGCTTTTTGGGCTTCAGAGCATTCAACAATTCCATGGGTATGGGGAAAATTATGGTCGAATTCCGCTCGGTGGCTATTGTGGCCAAAGTTTGCAAGTAACGAAGTTGCAACGCCCCCGGTGCAGTGGACATACGTTGGGCTGCTTCCTGCAACATTTGAGACGAATCTAGCTCACCTTTGGCTGCGATCACTTTGGCCTGAGCAGCTTGGGTCGCTTGTGCTTCGGCCGCCATAGCCCGCTGCATATCTTGCGGGAGTGAAACGTCTTTGATTTCCACCCTTTCTACCTGAAAATCCACAATAAAGTTGTGTGTAGAACTCCTATCATCACTAAATGATACTTTTGTACTTAGATCAAAAAAATGTTCCCATGCATCTAGCAGTGGAAAGTTACCGAACAGAAGAATGCATCCGTATAAAGGCAAAGAATGGTTTCTTAGGAAATGCAGCGAAAAAACAGTTTTGTTTCCAATTTAACTAAGACAAGTTCGATAAAGACGGAGAGGAGCACCCTGAATAATCTTCGAAAGTGAATGTCCATGATGTCACGCTGAGTTAGGTCCGATTCTTAAGACTTACACAAGACACAGTGATTCGGCGCATTTTTCACGTTTTGTATATTCAAATTATTGACCGTTTTTTTGTTAATCAATGCTCTTATGCGATTTGCTAGGCTATCCACTATGCTGTATAAACGAGAAATCCCAAATGGCACTCGAACTTAATTGATTTCTCCCACAGGCATACCTTCGAAAGAGGCCACGGCTTACGATATGAGAAGATGAGAAGGGAATCTGGGTTCCTCTACGCTTCATGAACGTGAATTCTTTTGTAAGACATAAGGTCCAAAACTTGTCTACTTAGAATTATCAGTTTGATTTACCAAGTATCCTGGGGAACATTTATATATAAATGAAGAATTTCGAACAATTCAATCAAGCAGTTTTAAAGAAAGGATAGCAAGTTCATAGCCATTTTCTGTTACAGTTTATCACAGACTACCGGAATGGACGTTTCTGAAAGCATAAATCTGCTGTATCGATGCTCTTACCTGTGAGACTAATATATTTTCATTTTTTTCAATTATAGTCTCGCTTACATTTATACCCCATGGACCAGTGGCTTCATCCAACTGTGTTTTCAACCTTGCATCAATCTGTTCACGGCAGGAGAGCAACTCAGCCAAACGATGATTCCCAATTACCGTTCGTAACGAGCTGACAGCCAACAGCTCAGTCGATAAGGTCCAATTCTGAACACACAACAATGCTTGGGCCGGATTAATTACACGCATATAGACCACAGCGTCCACACCCACGGTGACTGAGTCACGTGTGAGTACATCCTGGGACGGAATAGTCACAGTGATCGTTCGCATGTCCACTTTCATTATCGTGTCCACACAAGGCAAAACAAATTGTATTCCTGAGCCCAAAATAAACGTTCCGTTCTGCTTCCGTAATTTGCCCAAACGGAGTACTACACCGCGTTCAAACGATTGGATCACAGTGAACGAGAACCATATGGTTAAAGGGAAAAGTATCACATAAAAGACGATTACAAGAAAAATGACCAGAAATCCGCAACACCCATGCCCTTCGGTCTCTAGATCAATCTGAGCTGGGTTTAACTGCCCCATATACGTTGGATCCGCGATAGGTGTTACATGTACAGACGTGGATGGTATGTCTCGAGTTCGTTTGCGAACTTGTTTCGTATTGTTTTTGGCCGTTTCTGAATCGGATTCATTTTCCTCCAGCATATCGTTCACAGCGAAAATTCCGGATTGTTTTCTACTTCTGTAGTTGTTGCTTGAGCGTTCATTTAAGTAATGTAACTCAAGTTCCAATTGACTCCCTCCTCGTTGCCAGGGTTACTCAGATGCATTGTCATGGGGATAAGGCTAGTAAATAATGACTTTCAAATACCCGACCGGCTCACTCCGATGTGGACGGCATATGCTAACCCGTGTGTATCCATTTTATGGGATATAAGCAGGTCAACGGCATTCAACACATTGTTGTTCCACGTGTAGCAGCATATTGCTGACCTTAGAACTTAACTATGTAGTAAATAGCGAAAAATTGAAATTTAATTATGGCTTTCAAGATGTAAGTCAAACAGACCATTTCTGATCTGTATTATTTGCGTATGTTTATGAAAACTGCTCTACCAGGTTCATGTCTAGATGGAAATAAACCTATCAGGAACAGTGTTAATTTGTACCCAAAGGTTTTGAGTCCACGGTGCCCTTCATTTGATCAACACGTAAACTCGAGAAGGTGAAATAGTGAACGTGTCACGCTATAGGCTATCTTATTGGTGTTCGATTAATGCAAGTGGGTGACTAACTGAGCTGAGTTCATGAGGCTTTCCGTATTTTTGTGATTTCAGATCGAACACTAGCACCCCTCCCGCCCTATATGGAATATCATTGGTCCTGTACATACTAAAATGGATTTGTGCACTGCTGATTGGGTGATGATAGGGTTTGCGTGCTACGATGCCCCCGAGGCCTATGCCGATGGGGGCGCAAAACGCTTCTTCGGGGTCACCCATATCGGACAGGCCAAGGAGCGGGTGGCGAGACAAAAGCTACGCGGCGTTGCTAGGGAGCGTGGTGGTTTTTTGCTTGGCGACGAAATCTCTACACAAACGCCACAGAAGCCCATAGACAGCAACCTGATGTGCGCGAGTTTGGCCTGCCTTCAAATAAGGCCAGTACATCTTGCCTCATACTCAGCTATCATAAGATGGATGGAATCCACAAGGACGCCACCATCCAAAAAGCATTCGAACCGGTCGTTCGGCCTTCGGCTCCAAACACGCAAGCCTTCTGCTGCCCGACAGGTATCACAGACTAGACTTACTACCTCGAACTAGCGACTCTGAGAACGCCACTATGCACCTGATTCCTAAGATTCTTCATGAACTATTCGTCTACACACCGCTCACGGATAGGTGCCTTTCGGGACATCCATGAAGCCCGATCATCCTCTTACAAGAGTTGACCACGCAAAAGTAAGTAATGCTGATGTCATCCGTGTTACCATTTGGATATACACGCATGCGCCAGGTGGAAAAGCGATCCTAGGATTGTCGCTTTCAAACTGAGTAGTAAGCATAACCAGGAGGACACTTGATTCCGAATTTTGTTCATAATCGGTTCCATAACTGTCACTACGGAAGTACGAATTCCCGTTGTAGAACCACCTTAACGAGACGAATGATTCATGAATTTCAAGTTAAAAACGTACTCAATTAAAGATACACAAAATAAAATGAACTGATAGATGAACACAGCGCGAGTGGAATGGCCCTTGGGTAAGGTGTTCGAGTTAATATTGTTCACCTTGTGTTCAAAACAAAATGGGAGCTCGGTGCTGACGCTGTCTAACGTTGATGGTACAGATGCGTGGTGAGTACACTCACGGATCCCCGAAATAGGTTCCAGTTAGATGATACTTTCGAGTGTTCAAGGGAAAATTACGAAAACGGTAACTAAAGAGTTTGATCATGCCAGGTGTGCTAGGCTGCTAAGTGAGTGAATTCAGCAGACCGTTGTTTACTGGGTTCCCCCAAACCGACTCCTGACCCTCTCCACAACTGAGGCGATAGCCATTCGCAAACTAAATCCTGATCTGTGGGCACAAGTTCAAATACTTCAGACACTTGTAAGGCCTTGGCCAAAGATGGAATTCGCCAAGTGCAAAATGTCTCCTGAGAACCGGCAATAAGTGGTCGAATCGGGAGTGAGCAGAACTTCATCACACCACGTAAGCTGCAACCCTCGTCCCTCACCCGGATCGCCACTCACCATATAACTGTTACAATGACCTTCAGCCAAGCCAATGGCTAACTGGTTTCACTTTTGCACGATTGGAATAAATGTGTTACAAGCATGGCGGGGCAAGTAACGATAAAGTGAAGCAAACATTTGTCAATCTTCGAGATATCCGAGAGAAAATATTACGCTAATTATTGTATGTAATAACATCTTATTACTTAATTACTTATGACTGACAGGTTATGAAGGTGATATTTAGATTACTATATCAAATAAAACCACGAAATGTTACGCGTGATAATGTGCTGAACCACTGGGGCACAACTTGCGCTGTGTAGGGTACCAGTCAGTTTATATGACACCGGCAAACTTGGAAAGGCGGAAGAGTGTGTTCAGATAAAAGACAAAAGAGTATGTAGAATAGAAATAAAGAAGGAACAAGAGGTATGACACAAACTTACAATTGTCCACCTTTCCTTCAACAGGAATGCGAGCACCAAAAACCAATACCGGCCAATATGTTCAGTTCGGTTCAGTCTGACAGCAGTTCTTCGAATCAGTCGGGATGGTATTGTGACGAGTAGCAAGGAACTCCGTAGAAACCTCTAAAATGGTTTGTTTCTCACAGTTAGATATGGTTGATGTAATTCCAAGACATTTCAAATCAGGTTTATTGGTATCTTTTTTGTATTAGATGTGAGGGTACTTTCGAAAAATGTGTGTTTTATACGTTAAAACCTCGGCGCCACAGAGGAATGTTGCACCAAGGGATGTTGAAAATCATGGCCAAAGTCGGAAATGTACTGAAACCTACAAGTTGAGTTGAGTTGAGTTGAGTTCAGTTCAGTTCAGTTCAGTTCAGTGATCAGTTCAGTTCAGTTATCAGTTCAGTTCAGTGATCAGTTCAGTTCATTTTAGTTCAGATCAGTTTAATTCGGTAATCAGTTCTTTTCAATTCATTTCAATTCAGTGCAGTATTTTCAGCCATAATCCTCACAACTCGGTGCTCTGGTTTTGGCTGTAACCCTGATTCACTTTTCAACTGAGTGAAAAATGATTAAAAGTATGGAAAGGAACCCACCAGAATAGAAAGATGTAAATTGAATGTCAAAGACTGATGGTCCCAAGTCACTGACCACGGCTATTAGCTATGTCACTTACAGTCTCAAACTATCCAGCTTACGTAAGACGTCGTACTCTGCCAAGTCTACCAGTTAAGCTTTTCTTGCCATTTTGGCATATCATGGACTGACTGCGTCGACCCACCCTTCAGTCTGCACGTTCGTCAGAGAACGATACAAACCGCGGATGGTCTGTCCGTGGGGATTTAGGATCTAAAGCTACTTAGATTCGGCAATTCCCTCGGAGACTGGCCTCTAGGTCCCAACACCCCAAGCTTAACAAGAACTCTGAGTGGAACAGCAGATATGCTTTCTTCCAGGGCTAAAGAAAAAAACCGTAATGTATTTCATTAGAACAGAGAGAGGACATGGGTCTTGAGATCCAAGCATTTCGTTTACTCTTGTCAACCGCGAACGTAAAACGTGTCAGTATATATACATGGTACAGTAGGGGGTAAATGCAACAACAAAGTAGGCACGATCGAAAGTTCTTACAGTACGAACGTTAGGGAGAGTGTAATATATTTGCTTTGTTTGAAATAATTCTCCGTTGGTGGCAATAAAATGTTTCAAGTTTATGGGCTCCAAGTAGCTTTTCAGTTCAAAGTTCAAGTGACCGAAGGTAGTGTGGTCAGCAAAATACGGATGAGTCACAAGCCTAATGATAGAAATTTACACCTGATTCAGTTAGACCAACTTAATACAACATTCTGATGGCTCTCCATTTGAACTAGAAACTGTACAGTTTACCAGTGCTTGCCCACTAAATTCAACCGAAGTGAACTCCTCCCGAAAAAGGCCCTTCAGTATTTCATTTGACTTTTCTAAAGTAAACCCATGACTAATTTCTTGCGTCACTTTTAGCAGTAGGAGATTAAAAGTTTGCGCAATAAGATTCATCGTGCAGTATGAATGCTCAACTCACTATTGAAAACCATGGGAGCACTACACAGCTGTTTTGTCCTTGTTCGGAATCATCATCAGTGCACATCCATCGAGCCTCCACGGGGACTCGAAACCGGGGTGAACCATTTTGAGTTATTTAAACATTGGGTCCCCTTCGTCCAATTCATTAGAACAGAACGAAGACATAAGTCGCGAGATGCAAGCATTTCGTTTACTCTTGTCAACCGTGAACGTAAAACATGTCAGTATATATACGTGGTATAGTGGGGGGGGGGGGGGGGTAAGTGTAACAGTAAAGTAGGCGCGATCGAAAGTTCTTACAATAAGTACGCTGGGGAAAGTGAAGTCTGTCCTGTTGACACCAACCATTTAGTCGTCTGCAGCAAACGCAACTGAGCCGCTGTGTATGTGCCTTAGAGCTGATTTAAGATTACAATTTATTTGATTAAATAGATTTATAAAAGGCAAAGAGATAGAAACTTGCATCTTCTCGACGTTCATTGTTTTCTCGCGCACCTAACCACAAGGCTATCCGGGCTGATCGTCTCTCGGCTGGAGATCCCGTTATGGCTTGGTGGATGAGCTTTGCCAATGATTTCTAACAAGGATGAGACAGCTGTACAAAGCTTCCATGGTTATCAGTGCTGAGTTGATCGTTCAGGCTGCTCAACGAGCATTCCTTTCTTGTCATAACATTAATATTTGAGTTCTTGAACCAACGATAAGAGAAAATAATTAAAAATACCAGGTCGAAACATCAGCGTACTCTTTTGCAGATAGGTTTTCCTCGGTACTTCGCAACCAGGTAAATACTCCACATTTGGTAGATATTTGAGTTTGGGTGATAGAAAAACATTATAATCAATAATAATGATGACAATAATTGACAATTATGTGTTCACCTAGTTACGGTATTATCAATGACATGAGAGAAAATGTGAGTAGCTTATCGTCACGTCATTCGCATGGGGTTATTGATTGCCCCACGTAATCTTGCCCCGATATTTAGGTTAGATTTATAGCTCTCACATATCGTGTTCTGGACGCACGGAGGAGGGACTGGCGGATCTCGGTCATCACAGAGATGAATAAGATTCGGGCTTATCCCGTTGGTCTTCTTTCAGCAGTGGAGATAGGAAGAAAAGCCTCATTGTCACTGATTAAATTATTCAATTCTATCAAATGGATGGTGATTAGAGTTTGTCCCCTCTTCACTAATCCTCCACTTAACAAACTCAGATGATGCTCCCCGAAGCTTCCTGACAGTTTGCTTCCGGTTCGTCCTATATAACTTACTCCAGAGCTGCACGTAAATTATTACCCGCATAGAGTAGGGGAATCCACGAGTGGTCTGGTTTTCATCTATAAAAGAGGAACTGGTTGAGTGTTAGGCAAAACACAGAACGCAATAGCAAAATATGTCACTCTGATTGCTGTTTGAAGCAGCCTGTTTATCACACCTGATATTGTAACCGCTCTTCACTGACACCAGAATAGTAAACTTATCTTTGAACCCAGAGCTTGGGTTGCACTTTCACCGAAATAGTTATCTGCAATTAGGTCTACTATCAGAACGATAGCCGTCCCGCAGAAGCTCGTTCAAACTCGGCGTCAGGTTTTCCACTAGCAGCCACTAGTTACTAAGTTGTCTAGTCACAGGAGGTGGCTTACTGTTAGACAAAAGATTTGACTGCAACCAGAACAGGTGGTCCCGTCACGGAATGCCTGTCAAACGTAAGAGTAATTTTCATCAGTCGCCTTATTGTGCATGGTGCTGGTCAGATCAGCACCGACTGTTTTATATGCGCAAATAATGGGAGTACATAGCAAGTAAGAAATCCGTTAATTAACCGTACTTAAGTAAACAAGTAAGCAGGTAAGTTAACGGGCAAGCAAATACCGCTAATGAACGAGCGCAGCCTGCACATGCAATCGGAGCGGCCAAGCAAGGCTGCTCGAAGTGCGCTGAAATGTGATTGGATAAACTGGTTCCGTTACATGCAAAGTGCGTGCGTGTGAGAAATCGTGGCTGCTAATAGGCACGGACTAATAGGCAATCAGCAAACTAGACTGGAGTCATTCCGTTATCCATCCGATCGCCAATGAGGCCACACAGCACCGATCAGTCGTTGCTGACATGTTCAGAACTCTGTTTAGCTTCAATCATAGCAATCGACGGGTTGCTTAAAGTCTGACTGTTTGAGTTCACTTGATCCGTCCACTTTTGGCTCACCGCTATTTACTTCTGACCGGTTCTGGAAACTTGGCGCACCTCCGCTTATTGGCTCCGAATACTAGTTAGCTCAGCTTCTCACTTTGTTGTTAACTCCACGGGACTGTAAGTATATCTACAATATCGCCCATAGTCTATCATATTTTATTTAGTCGTGGGACAGAAATCATATCAGTAGAAACAGTTCGCGAAACTAAAATTCATTGTCACTTCTAAAGAGGATAGATAAGTGCACTGCCTTCCTTTTGGAAGTTAGATAGCTAGGTTTTAAACGCCTTTATCAACACACATCTCTCCGAATACCATTAAACCAGTAACTAGCCATGCGGACACGCAAATGCCAACGATTATCATCATAAGTATCGATCATCTTGTTGTTCATCCCTTATCCGAACTCGAATAACCACGTGACGTGTTGCATTTAGCCGGTTACCAGCACAAAAATTGAGTTTGTTTCGTACTGAGTACTCTGAATATGAAGAAAACGCGTAAAATCCTCCCTGGACAACCGTTCACTTTTGAAACAGAGAAAAGTTCATAGATTTTTCGAAAAATCATCGACCGGGAGTTCAAATGGTCCGGCAAGATGTTTCCGAGAACAAATCCACTGTTTAACGACTCAAGAAGGAAATGAATGAGAACACTGCCATTAAATATAATATTTAGTTCACAGGAAATTTTCAAATTTTTTCATACAATCGAAACTCAAGGAGAATCATGATAACTATTCAATCAAAACTAGTAGGCTCATGGTTCAACATTGACCAGCATACACAACCATTGGTGTTCATGCATCTTTAACGTCGATACAATACCTCACACATTCTCTATTCTACCCATTGTCATACAATTGAATTATCCGACACGATTCAAACTAAGTACTTTATTTCTAACAGATTGACAGGACATCTTCAGAGACCATCGGCTGAGCTTAATCCTCCAAAATGTGTCCTTATCAGTGGCACTTTAAAACTGACTCAATCCACTGGTCACTACAACAACAAACAATTTTCGTTTGTTTCAGAATACTAACAAAGAGAGCGAGATTTAAGCAGCATGAAAATGCTGGTAGACTGAAGTGAATCTCTGCATACGTATGCGACCAAAAAAGGTGATCCGTCGAATTGGTCTGGATAAGCACACACACTAATGCGAACATATATCTAGGGGATTCGATGAATTTACCGCGTAGAGTCCGGCCGTTAGAGCACAATCTGTCCATGCAATCATCACCTGGAACCGCAGATGTACATCAGATTGAGTTGCACGAGAACAGAGGACACCGAGAATCAGAAAATGTGATACAACTGGTAACCAAGAGACCTGTTTCGGGTAATCTAACCACAGCTAAAGTTTATCCAATCTCGGACAATACTGATCCGATAGATCTAGAACCAGAAGGTCATGGATTTTGTGGTTATTTCCTGATAGCTTTGGCTGTGCTGATGTATATCTTTCTCTTCCCCATCTTAGTCTTGTTCTCCTTCAAAGTGATTCAGTCCTATGAGAGGGGAGTGATGCTGCGGCTGGGCAAGTTACGCAAACACAAAGGCTCGGCTATCATGAGCTCGGGGATTCAGTTTGTTTTACCTTGTGTGGATACCATTCAAAAGGTGGACATGCGAACTATATCTGAAGTGATCCCACCTCAGGAGGTACTGACCAGAGATTCCGTTACAGTGACTGTGGATGCGATTGTCTACATGCGAGTGATTGAACCAGCCAGTGCAATTCTTCGTGTGGCTAATTGGCTTCAATCGACGGGACTGTTGGCGGTGAGCACACTTCGGAGTGTTCTTGGACATTATGACCTAGCAGCTCTTTTGACTAATCGAGAGGAAATTGATACTTACTTGAAAAAAAGTCTGGAAGCGGCTACTCGTGAATGGGGGATAAAAGTAAGTTCAAATTACATTTTTAAAGTTTCGGTACTTTCCAGCGTACATATTCATCAACATCTTCATCATCATCCTTGTCTAAATGATCCAAATCATCACTAGCATCGTCACCGTTACCATCGTCATCCAAATCATCTTCACAAGTTTCTTGATCAGTTCATACAGTTTCCGCGAATATGCTATAAATGGCTAATGTTGCAAAACCACAAGTAGTTGTGTGCTCTGAGGAAACTTTCAGGAATAATCAATTTGCACAACCAGATTAGTGCTATTGTTCCATCAATTATATAGACCTGTTTACAGACACTCGGAGGGGTTTATACACTGTTAAGTGGCAAAGAATAATTCCCACTTTTGGTGTTGGTGTTGTTCTTGTTGGGGGATTTCCTACTGTCGGATGATTCACAACTGACGTTCATACTTTCATCATCTTACCACACGACTTCAAAACCAAAACAAGTTCCTCTAAACTTCCCGATCAAAACAACGGATTCTAAATGAATGATGAAATGCACACAGCGTTTTGCCCCTTCCCACTATCTCTAGTGGAAACCCAGTTCGGCCTGCGAACTATCTCATTTTATTAGTAGAAAACAAAGAATATGTAGGTAGTCAGTCTATGTACCCACACGTTGTAATCAGCACCTTGGTCCGGTAGGTGTGGATGACCACGCTTTATGACCTAAACGCCTCTGGCAGGATTCGACTCTCGTGTATTGCTTCACGTCATCGGTTGGCTGTCCTGTCGTTCGTGGCTTCGTGGGCTCGTCAAGAGGCCGGTGCTGATGCACTGTCATCAGTGAGACTAAGACGTCTATCGAACGATGTGCCAGACCATACCCTCACACGGGGATTTTCGGGCAAAGCGCGAGGATTGCTTTCAATGAATTATTCTTGAATAAGGCGCAAGTGTGAGACCGTAGTTGATCCAAGCGAATTTGGTCTTCGGCGGGTGGTTAACTATTTTCTTCTACCTTCTGGTTCACCTTTCTATCCATTGGTAGTATTTCCGTGAGTAAAGTCCAAATAGCACAGAATGTCTATTGGATCAACTGGTGGCAATTCACGTCGACCTTCATAATGGAATTGTCATAGATTTATCCACCTACATCCCTTAGTCAGACCTCCTTGCGCGATCTGACAATCCCAGTTGCCACGGTACTGTACCCCGTCGACAATGCTGTTTCACATACAGGGTTCGCCATTTACGTGTTTGCACACATATAGTTCATAATAAGTAATGAATGGGATTATGTACTATCAAATATTTAAACTACTTTTGATAACCAAAATTCAAGTTAGGTAATCGCAACTGCCATTCCAGTTCAGTTAAAAACACGCATAAGGGACACAAAAATGCTACTCGGTAAACCCAACTTTACCATGATAATTCCCAACACACAATGGATGATGCATATCCACTACTGTAGCTTATGGTATGGGTCTTGTTAGAAGTACAATTCAAGCGATAAGCTTATCCTATCACATCTTTTCAAAGATACACTCAAAAGAATCATGCTACAGAGAACAAATTGCTCGAAGTAAAATCAGAAGACACAGAAAGTCGCAACTGATTGTGTCACTTTACTGTCAAAAGCTCTAAGAAGCAGACTGGACTTTTCGGTAATTCCTCTCTCTCTCTCTCTCTCTCTCTCTCTCTCTCTCCCTCTCTCTCTCTCCCATTCCCCCTCCCCTTTTATTCATGCCCAACGGAATACTCCCTGTACCAGGTGGAACGAGTTGAAATCAAAGATGTGGCTCTCCCACAAGATATGCAACGAGCCATGGCCGCCGAGGCTCAGGCCACGAGGGCAGCCTGTGCAAAAGTAATTGCGGCCAAGGGTGAATTGGATTCGGCGCACATGCTTCAACAAGCAGCCCAAACAATGAGTGGTTCACCGGCCGCGTTGCAGCTTCGCTATCTACAAACACTGGCCACAATTGCAACCGAACAGAATTCGACCATCATATTTCCGTTACCAATTGAGCTGATGTCAGCGCTTACATCCAGAAATAAATGATGATATTTGAACCTCTGTAATCATATGCTGCAAATGATAAAAAAATTTCCTGTCCCAGAAAAACCTAAAGTGTCAAACAGTTTCTTACGAACACCTGATGATTTAGTATGTGAAACATGAGCCAAGTTATGAACTAAATTATGTTGACGTGTTTACATGCCTACTGTTCTCACTGATCAACTTAAGCTACAAATAGACGTCATGAAAATCTAGTTTTATCTTGGAATGAGATTGGTGTTTGAGGTAAACAGCTTTGACATGCGAAGCTGGTGACGAATGAGCGGGATGCATCATATTGCGGCTGGCTTGAGGTGGCTACCCTTTAGGACCCGGCTCAGAAGGCTGAAAGGTGAATGTGTTACATTCGTAGTTCCGCCTATCGGTCGGGTTCTAAATGTTCTCATCAAGGCTTTGGAGGATATATGGTAGAGTGGATGATCCCCTCCCTATAAGTCACGTGAAACAGTTGTGTATGGTATTCAGTTGCGTGTTGGGTATAAATGTAGAATGACGCATCGATCCACGTGGGAGTTCACACGTGATAAGCAAACGCGTTGTGCACGCTTTGCATAACTGCAAACAGGTCCGTCCCGTCACCGGAGAAACATGGTTTGTTCAAAAACATCAACTCTTGTAGCACCAAATCGAGATGGAACGAAATTATTTCGAATTTCAGCAGGATGATGTCTAAGATATGTAGGGATTCCGGACAAATGTGGGCTAACTCACAATGTATGAAGAGTTAGCACACACACACACACACACACACACACACACACACACACTCTCTCTCTCTCACACACACACACACACACACACACGGTCCCCTGGGTATGAACCGTTCATATTTACAACGAGCGCAGTTGTAAATAATTTCAGTACAAATGAATGAATTCTTTGTGCATCCTGACAGGGGACTGCTGAACATATAAGTTGCCTTTAGCAGAGAAATAAAAACGTTGTATGCTGAAAGGATTTTATTTTCAATGTATTTCTACCGGGATCGAAAACCCTATGTTGAATTTCACTTCGTACTCACTGCTGCGTAGCCGGTCAGTTGGTTCCATTTCTGTCTTACATTGTCAATACCAAGGATTTTGCTCTCAGTTACCTACACATATGAACATTGTGGCATTTATTTGTATATCCAATAAGCAGATAGAAAGAAAATCACACACTGCGTGTACTAAACTCAGTAGTAACCTTTTTCTACCTACATTTTATACGTAATAATAAAAACTTTGCGACGGTTGTTACTGACAGTAATTCTTGTTGTTTTATTGCATCTGCGTGTTTATGTACATTAAAATTGCGCAAAATACAATTTAGAGTGTGAACCCATCCAGTCGGTGTTTTTGATCTTCATTTGCGCATAGTTAGAGCAGGAGCTATATTGCGTTCATTGCGAATAGTACAACTACTCTAGTTCGGTTCTTGTTCATCACAATATATACACATAGACGAAAGTATGAATCGGAGTGCATGGACCAGTTGGCACATATCGGCAAAATTCGTCTGTTTTTTGTTGAGCATATGTGTAGACTGTCCCTCCGAGCTCATACTGTATCTAGCTGATGATACCGTAGCGGGCGATCACATATTACTTGCAAATAGGCCCTTTGTCCATAGAAGTTATGGAAATCGGAGTGAACCGACATGTGACGGAGTTATGTGGTGATTCAATAGGCATCGCACGTGACCCGGCTGGGTAAAACTTCGAGGCTGCTCACGCTGAAGAGCTCCAATTAATCAGAATCACCGAGATCAAATACAACAAAAGCTCGCTGTGACTGGTCAATTTATAATCCGCCAATTATTTTCCTATATTTAACATATTTATACAAATCAGTTCTGTAATGCAATCAAAGTGTTATTCTGCAGCTTTGGCTTTCTTGATATCTCAGTTTTCGTAACTCTTTGTTGGAATGATTTCGATACCTTCTATCAGTTCGAGCATTGCAAACAGTACAGATTACATGTAAAACGTAGAAAGGGCTAAAGGAGATGTATATGCACGCTCAGTGTGCGATAACATTTCACAATAACAATATGAATATCAATAATAGGTTGCTCTAGAAACAGGTCTGGCGAAAAATGTTAGAAAAAGTTGAGTTATTTATGTTTGGTGATATTTCTATTACCAGATTTCGCATGAGTACCGTGCAATGGACTAATTTCTTAGCTTCAGAGGTACACAGCCTTGTATTAGTGATAAACGGCAACGTGACCAGATGGTCAAAAGTGGTAAACGGCCGAGCGATGGCATGTTGCCTTCACACCTCAAATTGATCGAGATTCGGAACTATGACCCCGGAGTTGGAACGTCAACACTCTAAACCACTAGCCCAACACGAAGTGTGCATACCATTTCGGCCAATCACTCATGCCAATTCAATACAGAGAAAGCGAAACGACACGGCTGTGAATGCCGTAAAAGTTCGCCATCACAACAAGGTTCGGTTAGATCTGCTTGAGATCTTAGATTCATGGTATCAGTTGAAAGGTTAACTGGATAACTTGATCATCGTCCATCCGCTGTATGATTAGTTTCTCATCCGGAAATTAAAGGACCGTGTGAAAATTTATTCTATTGTCTTCAACTGGTGAAAGAATCATTAGGATAAGAAGCATCTCCGTTTGGACGGGAACAGCAAAATTGATTTGTGGAGATCCAGTCAAGTGTCACAATACCAACACGATTGTCTCGAAACAACTCAATTGAAGAAGTGTGTGGCCAATAAATAGAACATTTAAACTTCACTCAAGTGACTGGATAACCGATAACACTTGGCCATAGATAGCAAAGTAAAGCGGACAATGAGCGGGTTTACTGCACTTACACTGTGAACATCTTTGAGTAGCTGTAATGTTGCTTCGTTTCCCGTGGGTTTTTTCAACAATTAGATTTACAGAATCACTGTGACGGAAATTACTGCCGATGTGACCAGATGATCATAAGTTTTAATTTGGATCGCCTTTCCGATGATTGAGTCCATACTGAGCCAGGGTTCCCGATACACGTTTTCGTTTATTTGATCAATCCCAGCCAGATGGGCCGCAAATCTCAGTTCTCAATCCCCAGCCGGCCATCATACTTTGACTGACTCACCGTTCGTTGCATTCACTGACAGACTGACACACCCGCAAGCACACATAAACATACCGCATACAGATGCGATCATTTTTACTCTACTAGTTACTCATTGGTTATTATGCGTGCCTTGAAGGCACATTAATCTTATAACTAATACGCTTCACCGGGTACCATCTGACTTCCGCATGTTCTTGACTGTGTTCCGTGGTATGAGCGCAGAAATGCCGATAACTGGATTTCGTCGTTCCGAGCATTGCTAGTCCGTATTCCCAGTACAATTAGTCCGCAGTACAGTCACCCTGTTTGGGGACTTAAACCATGAGAGGAAATATAATGAAATGTGAAATTTCGAGATGGGTCCAATTATGCAATAATTGAGTCTTGCTACTTATTAACGCATTTGATCAGTCCCAAATGCAGTTCATTGGTAACTACTTAAATACCCCAGAACAAGTTGTTTTCCAGTTAATCTGGTAAATTTCCCGAAAAAGGGTGCATAATTCAAGCACTGTCATGAAAAAATTCACAAACCGACCCCACCAATATGTTGCTACATAACCGTTAACTCGTACTATGTGGTTTATTCGTCAACAAGAAGAAATACCAGTCAGCAATAAAAAAATATATCAATAAATAATAATGCCAATTTTCAAGCACCATTGTTTTCTCAGGATACCGGTCGAAGTGAAGGAAACTAACCAGCAACGAGGAAGGAAGTTCACCGTTTGATTATAACACCTGTCGTGAGCGTAGGAGTTGACATTTCAGATGCAATTAAGTTCATCTGAACATGCTGACCTGCAAGGGGTGGAATTGATGGGCAGTCGTTACATTAAATTCATCAAATCCGCAGGCCGGAGGGCACGGTAGCACTCAGGACAACGAAAATAGCAAATACAATGAGGTTGTTTCCAGCATTATTATGCTTGGGCTGGTGCGGCAAGCAAATGAAGTTAGAAGATACGGATGATATGGACTTGTTTGGTAAAAATCCTCTGAATAAAATATGCTTCGACAAAAGTGGCAGTAACGGATAGGATAGTTTAATAAAACTACTTATTTAAATGGGTCATGTGATCTCCAGATCAGCCAAGCCAGTTGGGTTTGAAACGGAATCCATCTAAATAGCTTGCATGTGTTTTTGCAGTCTCTCTCGATTACCTTTCCACACAGATCCTGTTACATTGGATTTCTAACCCCCATTCAGAGTTAGTTCCGTCACGTATCTGGGTGTTGGACTAGACACCAATTTAAGATAAACACCTCACATTCAGTACTGTGTCGGTAAACTGCGACTCCTTTGTTTCCAAATAGGAGAATTTGGGCAATTCTATACACCAACAACAATTATTTCCTAACTCATTTTTCAATCTGTTCTTCCGATCTTACTGTATCTTTCATTCCTAATGCTCGCGAGTCTTTCAAATTAGACTTCAGAGCTTTTCATTACGGAATGGTAATTGTTCACCTCGTTTCATCCTTCCCGTTTGATTTCCTTCGACTGAACTTGTCAACGTACACATTAAGTTTGGCATTGTCCTAGGCCACAAGGCACTCCGAGATCCAACTCATCCATTACACTCCGACTTATATTTTTGTCTTTCTCACGTATATCCACCAGATCTGAGTTTTGGCACCTTTCTTCCAGAACTACCGTATACAGAAACACTCGTTTATCCTATCTGGCATGGGCAATGGTCAACAAGGACAAGAATAAAATGAAATTACTTTCCAAGTTTTCTTGATTATTTTGAAATTTTCCTTCTTCACAGTTATGTTCCCTTGGTGTCCACTGTCGTATATTTTGTTTATTCTACCCCATTTTTGTCAGAAGTTTTTATTGAAATGTAAGCATATTGTTTGCAAAAGTCTGTCATACAAATCTACTTACTAATAGAAACCTCAT